TTTACAGAGTATAAAACCATTGACGACTTTCACGTTTTAGTCGATAATTTATTGTCAAAACGAATCTAACATGTTATCAACCGTAAGATTATTATCCAAAGATCCTTTTCAATTTTTTCTTCTGCCGTGTAAATTGAAATGCGAAAAAACGCTATTAAACCATGGCCTTCCGGAGGGGGTGGGGAGGGGAACTTTCTATACCCCGCCCGAAAGGGGTACCTTTTTCAGGCTTCCGTCATATATATGAAAGGGTAGGGCTTTTACTAACTGAAGTACACCTGTCATTTTTAGTCTGTAAGAAAGCCCAGAAGGTTTTACAGGTGCATTTTAAACGTTCTGGTTTAGTGGTTTATTCTTATTTTGAAAACGGTGCATTTACAGCGGTTAAAACTCGGATGCAAAGTTCTAAATAAGGTATATGAAAGGGGTACCATTTGTCAATAGAAGGTATACGAAAGGAGGGGTTGGGGTTGGTAAGGGGTTGGACCTCGGGACGGACCCTCCCAGAATAAAACTTTGTTGAATACCCCCTCCCCCGCCCCCTGAGGCTGGCCTTAATGTTGTTGGCAGTTGTTTAGTCTGTTGTAAAAAGGACGTGCCGCAGGCGTCGATAGGAATGTGCTAATGGAAACGGATAAGTTACGTTAGAGTAACCACACTTTAAACATAAAGCCACTCCTTTCGTTTTTTTTTTTTTTAGCGAAGGAAATATCAAGAATCCTTGAAGTTTCCGTTATCTTGAATTGCTTAACCTTGACTGTAATTCATGTGTACTATTTTAGTCTTGGTCACCAATGTGTCATAGGGTGATCTAGAATGCACTTGAACGACCAAAATAACTGCTTAAAGAAGGGAAAACAACACGAACAAAACAGGGAAGCTCAATCTGGTCAAGGCGGGCAAAATTGGACAAGATTCAAATGGACTGATTTGGGCTGAACTCAAACTTGAAAAACGTTTACTTTAAGTTCAATAAACGTGCGAAATGTAATGCTTTTCATTTGTAAAGTGATTACCATTTTGTCAATTAAAGATATTTGCCGTGCTAATAGGAAGTTAAAGCCATTAATTAACGAATTAACACAATTAATTAACAATTAATTAATTAACACAATTAACAATAACAATAACATCGTGACCTAGACAGGGTTCTACTTTGTGGTATTTTAAAAAATGTTAAACATGGAACCAATTACTTTCCTTGAAGTCAAACAGGAACGTCAACAAAGTTTAAACACTTTTGGACTCAAAAGCGTATAATGGTTTTAAAGTCCTCCACTGAATTGCATATTTGTCTAAAACCCAGGCTGTTACACTCGCTTACATAGTACAGGAGAAGTGTAAAGTCTGGCACGATTGGCATTTAGCCCAATTCCCAAAACCTGGAAGGGACGACACTCATTAAAAATAACCAAAATCAATTCAAGTCAAGAGGAGATAATTGAAAGTGAAAGCATGCCAAGTATAGAGCCAAGCTAGATTGGTTTCCTTTAGGGGTTGTTGAATACCAGTTTTCCGACGATAATCCCCGTCTCTTCCTTAAGGGGTACCTCCCTCCATCTCGAGTGTAAAGGATCACTGTAAACGGTCTCTTAGAGTTAATGAGTTCGTAAATTCTAGTGTGGACAGCGAAAACGTATACGACGGGCTGGTGTGACATGGCCTCATTTTGTTACTGTAAAAAACTTATCTAGACCTATACGTTTTGTTTCAGTGTTTCCGTGTGTACAAGTCTACATGCAAGACAGACGCCGATTGTCGCCCTTGCAACGAAGCTCAGTTAATATGTGAAGACAGCGAATGCGTCAGAGAAAAAGTCATGTTCGCTTAAAACACAAAGATGCGCCACTTGCGAAAGAAACACACTTTACACTGATTCATATCCAACATATTCCGTGGATGATTCCCTTCCGGTTGGAGAATGGCCGTGGCAAACAAATTGATTGAAAACAGCACAGTTTGCTCAGCGGTCAACTATTAAACTCAGAAGACACCTTTTTAGCGAATGGACAGTATCTTTCGATGCGCATATAAGACAGAAGAGAGTTGATTTATCATGTAACCCCTATAAATTTATTGACAGTTACCGTATATTTTTGTACATTGTTTTAGTAGTTACCTCTCTAGATGTGTAGCCACTATGCGTAAGTCACAACCATAGCACGTAAGCTGGCAATGAATTTGCAGTAGAAATAACAACATGACCCCACAGGTCATGGTAGAATACAAACTTTTACAACCACATGTACTTCATCAAGTGCCTATTTTTCGTTACATGTTTGCTATCGTCACTAGTTTTAATTACCTAACGTTAACTAAACCCGGAGTGGGGAGGTCGGGGGTTGCGCATCAGAACGGATATCTTATGTCTGAGTTAGTAACGCTCCTCCGAATTTAATCCAGTGACCTTTGATTCAAGCAGAAACTAAGAACGTAAGCTTTCAACTAAAATGAAAGTTACAGAAGGCAACAATACGTGCGTTAGTGCGCTAAAAAAAGTTTTTTAGTCACCAGCTGGCTGGCTAAAAAAAATAGACCTTAGCATTTCGTAGATCGAAATGAAATGGAGCCAAAATCAAATCGAAAATCAAATCGAAATAAAAAGAAATCTTGAGTGTTAAACGTAAAGCCAATTTAACGTTAAAATACTCTAAAACCCTCTGACAAGTTTATTCTGAAAGTACTGATATAACTGATATAAATCGTTTTTGTCCTGTCCGTCAACCCACGTCATTTCCAACACAACACAATCAGGCGGCAGCTCACTACTTATCTCAGCACCAGCCCCAACTCGAACCACGAACGACAAGAGAGATCTGGGGAGAGTACTGCCTTGTTGAGTATCATTACTTTGTGATGGATCTTCGCGCGATTTGAATTCTTCGACTTGAGAAACGTCAGAATTTGTTAACGTCTCATTGGCTTTTAAGCTTTCCGTACCTGTGCTTTTTTCTCCTGAAGTATCTTGGGAGTTGATGTCATGAAGAGTAGTATCTTCTGCTGTTTCTTTTGCGGCTAACTCTTCATCATGAGTCTGACAGTCTCCATGGTTTTCTTGTCCAACTTTTTTTCTAAGCAGTTCCCGCCGTTTTCTCCGCTGATGAGCCCAAGTTTTGTCTGAGGCACGACAATGGAAGGTCAATACCCCAGCTGATTTGTCTGTTTCATCATGCGCTTTAGTCACAGCAACCTTAACGATAGAATGCAACATAAAATATTCAACTGAGTATTCTAAAGTACGAAATACAAGCTAAATTATTAAAGAAAAGTATGCGCAGCTTTCCCACATGCGAATGATGAAGCGAACGATCCCACTTATAAGGATCACGAGACCTGCCACAGAGAAAACTAAAGGAGTGTTCTAACAAGTTGGACTTAAATATGTACGACGTAATATGGGATGACTAGACTCATACAAGCCTGTTCAAGGCTCCCAGTTTTTTCATGCACTGATTGTTCTTTTGGCTTGTCCTTGTTGACTGATAGCCTGGGACACGCTAGGCTCTTAATCGCGCAGTTGTATCAAGCCATAACTCAAAGAGAACAAATTTGCATGATTCATCCCACTAATTATCATAGAGTTTCATAGTTGCTACGAGCCCCCAGGCGAGCAGTACACTTATCTTTGGGTTCTCCGTGGTTCCTTAGGTGTCCTGTTGCTATCAAGGCGTAAAATCAGATTTATGTTTGTCAGAATAATTTTTAGCACGTATGTCCTGCATTGCCAATCCAAGACCAAGAGGTTTGTCTAATTGCGCTACGTTTCTCACATTTTAGCGCGCGCAAACAGATTCACAGTAATTTTCGTGAGAGTGAAGAATGATCATCGCAGTAAATTTTCCAATTTAAGCAATTGGAAAGAAGAAGCCTGAAAATTTTTTTTTTTTTCAGGCTTCTTCTTTCCAATTGCTTAAACTGGAAAATTTACTGCGATGATCATTCTTCACTCTCATCTACAACCGCAGTTCAAAAATGAATTATTTCATATACTTCACAGTAATTTTCGTATGGGTAAAAACAAAAACTGGCCAATAAAGACCCAAATCACAGAAAAATTCGTCATTGTAAGACTCCCAAGTACTCCTTTATCCCACAACTATTCATTGGCCCAATTAAAGGGTCTGCAATTAGAAAAATGTGTATGTCAGTTCATCGTCTCTCAGATGATGTTCTACTGCCCTGCGTCTGCTCGCAACATTATACCTAGAATTTTTAACCTCTAGTTAAAATGAATAACGTCCAATTTTGTGCAGGGATTACCAGATACAGGAAGGTACTTACCTTTAACTCATACAGTGTCTTCCTGACATAATCTACTGTTGCCTTCACCCTGTCTGTTAGTTTAAGCTCCTTGTCGCATCCTGTTTCTGTGGCTGTAACTTCGTTGGGAATAATCAGCTGAAGAGGCTTTGCCTTTTTTGCTTTTTTACGGCGTTTTGAAGGAGATTCCTGAAGGAGAGGAAACGGCATAGAGGGTAAGTTATTTTAATCACAGAATCTGGGAACTTTGGCTTGTGGAATCCAGATCCTAGGCTTTGACATCTGGAGAAAGCTAAAAAAAATCCAGTATCTCTCAATCAATTGGAATCTGGAATCTAAGTTCCACTGACAAAAAATCCGAAATCCAGTAAGGGAAATCCAGAATCCAAGACTGTCTTGGATTCCCTTACATGAGGCGAATATACATGTGCACAAGACATGCAACTAGTCCAAGCACAGATAAACATGCTGGAAGCAAAATAAGATAACTTCCAACTGGTGGTACAAAACAAAGGGATAAGACAAAGGATAGGACAAACTATTCTTTTGATTCACAGTCACCAATAGTAAATGTCCTACCAAAATCCTACCATACCTGCATGACCACATCAGGTAAAAATGACCAGGCCACACCCCAGCGCATTGTGTGCCCCTGGCAAAACTCAGTGGTTGTTATAGTCTTTATCTGGGGGAGAAAGAAACTGACAGTTGACAGGTTGGAAACAAAAAAAGTATTTGAAATAAGAAAGCGTCTTTCTTTTGTATACAAACAAATATATAATCATATGCAGGATTTTTAAAGCCAATGGCTAACCACATACAGGAAAAAGACGTGAGTAGGGAGTAAGTCTCATTTGTCCTTCTTAACCTGCAATTGATTTACTCTGGCAAGGCAAAAGTAATCATAACATAAACCATTCAGTGCTTGCCAGACAGTTTTGCCAGTATCTCTTTTAAGAATGCATTTCAGTCTTCCTGATAATTATAATTGCTCTATCACTGAGCTTTCTTAATTCCACCTGACAGGGAATGGGACTGCTGCTGCCTGTTGTCTAGACTCCCATTCCAAACCCCCTCCCACTCCTCACCCTCCCCACCCCCCCACCCAAAAAAAAAATTGAAAGGTAGATTTTTTGAGCCTGTGCTACATGTGCCACAATGATCTTGTTTTGGTGCAGATATGTATCATAATTACTGTACTTACATCATTTTCTTTGAGAAAAGCAAGGATAGGGGCTACACTTGACTTCTTGCCAAGCATTGTAGTGTACCAGCTAAAAATTAACGAAAAAAGTCTAATTTAGCTTTTGAATCACAGACCACTGATTGATCATTATGCACAAAACACAATTAACACGTCAAAGATAGGTCTTTTTTCATATTTGAATTAATGGCAAATAAATGAAAATAAATGTTGAATTGTTCCTCAGCTAGCAAAGGCCTGGGGGAAGGGGTGTACTTTAGGAATTTCTGGGTGGGGATGTGCAGCTGGGAGCCTGGAACCCTTAACCTATCCCAGAGCTAGTTCAGCTGAATTTTGCTACCCTATACTAGAGTAACTCCCCAAGTCCCCCTTATCCTAGAGTTTTCCAGAAACTACTGAGGTCACTAGCACAGTCTAGCCAAAACAAAACCTTATACCACAATCCCTAGTCTAGATAAAATCTTCAACCAACTGATCAGTTTCCTTAAAAATGATACCCTATTCTAGACCCAAATGCTCTGATTTATATACCCTATACTAGAGTAAACTGCTTGAAAACCATACCCTTCACGGCGGCACATACCAATCTATATAGCCCACATATGGCAGTACCCCCCCCCCCCGCCCCCAGAGCAGAGGTCTCTCATAGCAAGAAAACAGCAGGGAATTGAATTATTATCGACTTAAGTACAGAAACTCTTGTTAGAAATAAATATTGTAGTAATCTGGTTACATGTGCATGCAAAATTACAGCCATGGGTCACAATACCTGATTTGCTCTTTCATAACGAGGCTGTCTTTGATAATTTCTTTAACAAATTCCACCTCACCCCCTCCAGCAACAGTTTCAGTTTCTGTTCCAGTGCACACACCGCTAGGCTGAGGACGTTTGATGCTGCGTGTTATCCCATGAGAAGCCTCAAACTCATTCTTAAAGAATGGTGGATTGCACATGCAGAAATCAAATTCTTTGTTGTCTTCCTCTTCAGTGGGTTTCTTGAGATAGTTGTCATTGGTTACCTGTTTCACTAAATGAAATGAGATTTTTAGCTGGTCTGAAAAATGCTAGAATTATTTCTTTTCCGTATGGGCATTGTTGTTTTCCCAGTGCAAAGGTGATATTGTTGATATATTATTTTTTGCCATAAGATTGAGACTGACCAGCAAAAACACAGCAAAATAGGGCGCAAAAATGGTTGTTAAAGAGTGACCATGGTTTTCCAAATGACACAAAACTTTTCAGGACAATCTGGTTGAAATGGAGGATGCTATGTCTTCCAGAAATTTTTCACAAGGATGAGCTGTATTATCTAATTTTTCACACTCCAGTTAATCAATGTATCATGGATAGTAATCTTTAAAACTAGTCAGCAAAATCTACAATGCGCATGAATGCTTTCTTACCTTTAATGTTATTTTCCAAGCCATTGCTTTTCACATTGTCTACAGCATATGAAACTGACAAGTCATCTACCTCAGTTGCCAAGAAATGCCAGTTGTTGAGTTTAGCACCTAACAGTGGATAGATGCAGGAGGCACCTGATCCTAGTACAAAATAACACGAAATGGCAAAATTAAAAACAAAAAAACATATCTGAAAACACAGTTAGGTTATTAAGGCAAGAATGGCTTTATTTTTTCACCACATAGTCTATTAAATTAATGCAACAAATGCTGAACAAAGGCCCAGCAAAAAGATTAAGGGTTGGGGGGCGGGGGCGGGTTGCAGTGAACTGAGGGAGGAAAATGTGAAGATTGGTCAGAGATTTTGTTTGCAATTAATGAAAGCAACAAAATATAATTTAAGAAATTGATCCACCACAACTCAGTTCTGCTTATGATCCACCAAAACATTACCATTTTTACTCGTTGCTGATCGCAAACATTTATTATTATTATTGCGTGACACTTCCTAAGCTACAGATAACAAGAATTCAATAGCCTGCGTTGCTAGCTGGCTGTTACGCAGGCGATGAATGCAATCAAAACCCACCCACAAAATACAGCCATCAAAAAAGATTATTTGTCTTACAGAAAAACTGTTAATAAAATGATCGGTTTCCCTTTCTATAGTTTCGAAAACGGTTTAATCGCGTTTTATTAGGAGACTAAATGAGAAATTCGTGATCTTACCAATGTCAAACCCACGCACAATTGCGTGACAGTGATCTTCTGAAAGGCATGAGAGAAGATCTTCGATCCACAAGACGTAGTTAAGCCGAAGAGGCACTGTGGGGATAAGTCGATCTAATGGGATGCTGATTTTGATCTTGAAGTCATGCTCGAGCAAAGCGCAAGTTAAAGCTCGCAGCGCCTCAGGATTTTTAAAATTCAAAGTGAATCGTCCGGGTTTAGTTTCCTTCGTATGCTTCCTAAAGTAGTCGAATTTTTCACCAAGCACTTTGAAGTCTGGTGGAGCGTTTCTGTAGATATTTCTCGGGTGCATGAGGTCATTAAAGCCCATGATGTTCGCATGAGTCAAAGCAAACCATGGAAGCTTTGGTTGCGGCCATGTTGGACGTGAAAGCTGGCATGTAGTGTCCAGACCTCTTACGCGGTTTTCCAACTAGATGTTAAATTTTAATCCGGGTTCCTTTTTTTCTTTTATTCCAAGCATTTTCTCGGATAGCCTGAATTTCATCCGATGGCTTCGAGTCGTTTTCTCCTCTCAGCAACGTTATTGAGGGAGTAATAACGACTCCAAGTAATCGGATGAAATTCAGGTTATTTCTCGGATAATAATAATAATAAAGGTAACGATAACGATAATGATGATAATAATGACAATGATGATAACGATAATAATAATAATAATAATAATAATAATAATAATAATAAAAATAATGATAATAATAATAAATACATTCGATGCGTTTGAAGTGAATTTTTTAACTATATATGAAATAGATAATGTTCAGAAAATTTGGATTGAAAATAAAGAAAGCTGTGGAAAAGGAAAATATATATATTGGCCCTTCAGCGCTCACGTAGTATGATATTAGCCTCCGATTAGGGGTATGACCGATTAAGTAGCTTAAAGTGTTTTCATGAAGAATAAAAGTCCACTTAGTGCTGAAAATGAGTTTATTAATTACTTAAACAATGGCTTCTGACAAAGTGTTGGTTAAAAAGCAATTGCGTTCATAGACAACTGCCACTCCGCCCTTAAGTGGTAAACAAGCAAAAAATTCCCTTCAATTGACCACCGATCAAGTTGGTTAGGATGTTTAAGTTTAGTGTGCCGCCAGTACTAAACACATATACCAGTAGTAACTGTTATATAAAGCAGCGTCACTGCATGATGCCTTGTAAACAGGGGCACCCAACATCAATTTTTGGAAAATATATGTTCGGAAGACGATTTGAGATCTAGAATTTTCGGAACATTTGTTGTAAAATTTCTTGCTTGCCTGCCTCTCCTAGGATTTTCGAACACATAAAAAATGGTATAATCGCCCATTTTTAACGGACTTTTACCCTAAAAAGGTCACCTAGAATTTTCGGGAGCCTTTTTTCTGGCTGCAATTTTCGAAAAGGTAAGTTTTGATCCCTATAATTTTCGGATCATTAGACTTTCAGCTAGGAAATCCGAACAGATGAAAAATTTTTAGGAGATGAAAATATGTCTATACCTACCGTTTAAATACTAAAATGCGTTCATTAATGCTATGTTTAAGTGGTTTTGGGTGCTCCTGTTGTAAATTACTTCCTTACTTCTTTTGGGCTTCACGCCTTTCGAGTCTCACAAGTTTGATTTATGACAAGAAGTGACTGTCTATTGACATTGACATTGCCTTTCTTCCGTGCATGTTTGTTATGTTATAGGTTAAAAATTGGGCACTGAATTAGCTACAGCCGGCAAGTTGTGATGGTTACTTTTAATAAACCCATTCTGTCTATCTTTTCTGGCCATACAGAATTCGCATTTCCAATTGCTTAAACTGGAAAATTTACTGCGATGATCATTCTTCACTCTCATCTACAACCGCAGTTCAAAAATGAATTATTTCATATACTTCACAGTAATTTTCGTATGGGTAAAAACAAAAACTGGCCAATAAAGACCCAAATCACAGAAAAATTCGTCATTGTAAGACTCCCAAGTACTCCTTTATCCCACAACTATTCATTGGCCCAATTAAAGGGTCTGCAATTAGAAAAATGTGTATGTCAGTTCATCGTCTCTCAGATGATGTTCTACTGCCCTGCGTCTGCTCGCAACATTATACCTAGAATTTTTAACCTCTAGTTAAAATGAATAACGTCCAATTTTGTGCAGGGATTACCAGATACAGGAAGGTACTTACCTTTAACTCATACAGTGTCTTCCTGACATAATCTACTGTTGCCTTCACCCTGTCTGTTAGTTTAAGCTCCTTGTCGCATCCTGTTTCTGTGGCTGTAACTTCGTTGGGAATAATCAGCTGAAGAGGCTTTGCCTTTTTTGCTTTTTTACGGCGTTTTGAAGGAGATTCCTGAAGGAGAGGAAACGGCATAGAGGGTAAGTTATTTTAATCACAGAATCTGGGAACTTTGGCTTGTGGAATCCAGATCCTAGGCTTTGACATCTGGAGAAAGCTAAAAAAAATCCAGTATCTCTCAATCAATTGGAATCTGGAATCTAAGTTCCACTGACAAAAAATCCGAAATCCAGTAAGGGAAATCCAGAATCCAAGACTGTCTTGGATTCCCTTACATGAGGCGAATATACATGTGCACAAGACATGCAACTAGTCCAAGCACAGATAAACATGCTGGAAGCAAAATAAGATAACTTCCAACTGGTGGTACAAAACAAAGGGATAAGACAAAGGATAGGACAAACTATTCTTTTGATTCACAGTCACCAATAGTAAATGTCCTACCAAAATCCTACCATACCTGCATGACCACATCAGGTAAAAATGACCAGGCCACACCCCAGCGCATTGTGTGCCCCTGGCAAAACTCAGTGGTTGTTATAGTCTTTATCTGGGGGAGAAAGAAACTGACAGTTGACAGGTTGGAAACAAAAAAAGTATTTGAAATAAGAAAGCGTCTTTCTTTTGTATACAAACAAATATATAATCATATGCAGGATTTTTAAAGCCAATGGCTAACCACATACAGGAAAAAGACGTGAGTAGGGAGTAAGTCTCATTTGTCCTTCTTAACCTGCAATTGATTTACTCTGGCAAGGCAAAAGTAATCATAACATAAACCATTCAGTGCTTGCCAGACAGTTTTGCCAGTATCTCTTTTAAGAATGCATTTCAGTCTTCCTGATAATTATAATTGCTCTATCACTGAGCTTTCTTAATTCCACCTGACAGGGAATGGGACTGCTGCTGCCTGTTGTCTAGACTCCCATTCCAAACCCCCTCCCACTCCTCACCCTCCCCACCCCCCCACCCAAAAAAAAAATTGAAAGGTAGATTTTTTGAGCCTGTGCTACATGTGCCACAATGATCTTGTTTTGGTGCAGATATGTATCATAATTACTGTACTTACATCATTTTCTTTGAGAAAAGCAAGGATAGGGGCTACACTTGACTTCTTGCCAAGCATTGTAGTGTACCAGCTAAAAATTAACGAAAAAAGTCTAATTTAGCTTTTGAATCACAGACCACTGATTGATCATTATGCACAAAACACAATTAACACGTCAAAGATAGGTCTTTTTTCATATTTGAATTAATGGCAAATAAATGAAAATAAATGTTGAATTGTTCCTCAGCTAGCAAAGGCCTGGGGGAAGGGGTGTACTTTAGGAATTTCTGGGTGGGGATGTGCAGCTGGGAGCCTGGAACCCTTAACCTATCCCAGAGCTAGTTCAGCTGAATTTTGCTACCCTATACTAGAGTAACTCCCCAAGTCCCCCTTATCCTAGAGTTTTCCAGAAACTACTGAGGTCACTAGCACAGTCTAGCCAAAACAAAACCTTATACCACAATCCCTAGTCTAGATAAAATCTTCAACCAACTGATCAGTTTCCTTAAAAATGATACCCTATTCTAGACCCAAATGCTCTGATTTATATACCCTATACTAGAGTAAACTGCTTGAAAACCATACCCTTCACGGCGGCACATACCAATCTATATAGCCCACATATGGCAGTACCCCCCCCC